TTTGGTCACTATAAAGTACCCAAGGCGCTCCAAACTATAAAGAGCCAGAAACGGGCCTAGCCGGAGAGGATACCAAATGACAGATTAAGTCGGTCTTGAGGAGTGCGTTTCAGGCTGTGCAGGCACGTATATGATCAAGAAACACCTAGCTAACGATGCACAAAGAGTCCTCCGAGCTCCTCATAATGCAAAACAGCCTGGGAACTGTGCTACTTTTGGAGTAAAACATTATGTGCAAACAACTAGACAATGTGGCAAACCTGACCATATACATATAGCCGCAGATTCTTTGATTTACACACCCACTTGAACATTACAATGTACTTTTGCTTGTTTTTCCGCACTTGAAAATGATCTCTTTTCACCGATTAGACCGTGTCTTACGAAGTATAGCATTATCGTCTCAATAGTGGCTTCCTGAAGAAATTCAATTCTCAATTGAAGTAAATAGAAGTACTTGATGAGTTATACCGAAATTATTACCTTCAATAGATTCCGCTGTTTATTAGGATTTAAGATTATTACTAAGGTTAGTATGTGGTCAGATACAAGCATATGTTACGCTCATACGTGGCTTTGAGGCCGCTTTGGTGGTCCTAACTTGTTCTTCCAAGTGCAGATATAGAGGTTGTTATAACTTAAGTTTGGTTCACCATAGGTAATCTTCAAGAAAATAGTCAAAGAAAGTATGAATAAATTGATGAAGCTTGATTCCATAATGATCAGTACTTTAGAACGCACTCAACGAACGTTGTTTAAATCTATGGTACAAACATGCCGCCATACAACGCAAAGATTATTATATGATCAGTTCTTAGGTCGGATTATAAATTGACAAGAAAATTAGCAAGACAGATGCCAGTCACTTCAACACCCCCATGTGGAACTGGCAATAAGCAGGTGACTTTCGAGAGCTGTCACAAACAAGCTTGAAGGGTTATGGTTCAGACCCGTTACCCATTTTCTAAAAATCTGCATATATGACAGAGATTCGGACCAGGTGGATTGTGACATGTCAAGGAAAAGTAAGGCCACCGAAATTGCTTATAAATCTCGTTAGGTTTAATAAACACTCGCATAATTAAAACAGTTGGAGCAATGTGTTTACCTTTAGCGAGTACCAAGAAAACCATAAACAACGGAGAAGAAAAGATCCGTAGTAGCAAAAAAGAAGCTAATTGAACAGAATACGATTAAGTGCATACTTGATAATTATAAGAAAAGGTCACTCAACTTAGATGCAGTTTCTGGCATAGAGGACTTAGTTATTAATGAAGTTAGCTATTCCAGACAAGCAGCCCACTAATACAGACTGTTTCAGGATGTCTTGAATTACACAAGTACCGGTTCTTGAAAGCCATGAGCGCGTTCAGTTGCACAAAATGACACCCAAAAATATCCCAAAACTAAATGCCAATATAAATTATCCATCTTTATTCGCAAAATCAGTTTTCTGACCGACAGAGCGCGTCAATACGTGTTAGCGACCACGGAAATTCTGCACCGCCCGTAAGCCACGATGCAGGCAGATCCAAGCTGTAACCAGCAGTTCAGAAACCTCAAACTACAAGAAGATGGTCACAAAAAAACCTGAAAGATCTGGTAGATATCCCCAAAAAAGTTTCGAAATACGTGCTGGTGAATCTTGTCATAAGGGGGGGGGTTATTCCACTATAAAACTTTAAAAGAGGGTAACTATGCTAATTAAAGGTCTAGGGCCTTACTCAAATCAACACTTCAAGGAAGTCATAGATGTAAGCCTATCTTTACGCGCTGGCTTTAATTTAATGGTTACATATCGGAGTATGTGCGTAAATGCGACTAGTAGCAAAAATGTCGATAATTTGAGGTTTGAAATTGGTCATGGTACGAACATTAGGATTGCAAGCGATACGAAAACTTCTGTTAGGCGGATTTCTCACTGAAAAAGGGACAAGTTCACGTCTAAAACTTCGTGCTCAAATACTGAAACGCATAGAACTCAAAGTAGTTAATATCCCCTAAGATCTCCACAAGTACTTTCCCA